GCCCTGGCTGCTTAGACAGTGGCGCCGGCAGCGGCGGTGGGCGGGTCCTAGTCTCTGGTCCACATGGGTTGGGGAATTTTTTGTGTGTGAAGGATCCCTGGTCAGCCTCGCTTTGGACGAAGAAGACGGCGGTGGTGGGAGTGCCTCGGTCTCCGGTCTCGGGGGCGGGGCATTTATTTCGGTGAAGGCTCCCTGGTTGGGCTGGCTGCTTGGACGGCGGTGGCGGCGGTGGCGGTGGCGGGCCCGGGTCTCGGGTCCCCGTTGGGGCTTTTGTTGGGTTGAAGGCTCTCTGGTCGGCCTGCCTGCATGGACGGCGAGGGCGGAGGTGGTTGTGGGCTGGCCCGAGTCTCGGGTCCCCGTGGTGGCTTTTCTTGGGGTTCAGGCGCCCTGGTCAACCTGGCTGCTTGTATGGCGGCGGCGGCGGTGGCGGTGTGCGTGCCCAGGTCTCAGGTCCCTGGGGTGGGGCTTTTGTTGAGGTTCAGGCTATCTGGTTAGCGTGGCTACTTGGAAGGCGGCGGTCCAGATTCTCGGATCCCAAGGGGGTCTTTTGTTGGCGTTCAGTCTCCCTGATCAGCTTGGCAGCTTGGACAGTGGCGGCAGGGGGCGAGCCCGGTTCTCGGGTCAACGGGGGGTGGGGGACTTGTGTTTGGGTGAAGGCTCCTTGGTTGGCCTGGCTGCTTGGGCGGCAGCTGAGGCGGTGGGGGGGCCCAGGTCTGGGTCCTGGGGGCGGGGCTTTTGTTTCGGTGAAGGCTCCCTTGTTGGCCTGGGGGCTAGGACAAGTTTGCGGGTGGAGGTTTCTGGTGGGCGGTGGGCGGCCCGTGTCTTTAGTCCCCGGTTGGGGGAGGGGGGCTTTTGTTGTCTTTCAAGCTCCGTGGTAGAACTGGCTGCTTGGGCGGCGGCGGCGGCGTGGGGTGGGCCCGTGTCTCAGGTCCCCGGGATGGGGATTTTGTTTGGCTTTCGGCGACCTGGTCGGCCTGGCTCCATAGACTACGACGGAGGTGGCGGCGACGGAGTGCGGGCCTTGTTCTCGGATCCCCAGGGGGGTCTTTTGTTGGAGTTCAGGCTCCCTGGTCGGCATGGCTGCAAGGACGGCGGTGGCGGCGGCGGGACGTGGGCCCGAATCGGGGATCTCCAGGGACGGGGGCTTTTGTTGGGGTTCATGCAACCTGGTCGGCCTGGCTGCATGGACCATGATGGCGGCGGCGGCGACGGCGTTGGGCGGGCACTGGTCTCGGGTCTCGGGGGCGGGGCTTTTGTTTCGGTAATGGCTCCCTGGTTGGCCTAGATGCTTGGACAACTGCGGCGGTGGGCGGTGTCAGGTGGACGCTGGGCTGTCCCGTGTCTCCAGTCCCAGGGAAGGGGGGTCTTTTGTTGCGATTCAGGCTCCCTGGTTGAACTGGCTGCTTGGAAGGCGGCGGTGGCGACGGTGGCAATGGGCGATCACGGGTCTTGGGCTCGCTGGGGAGGGGTTTTTATTGCGGTTCTGGCTCCCTGGTAGGCCTGGCTGCTTGGACAGCAGCGGCGGCGGTGGNCGGTGGCGACGGTGGCGATGGGCGATCACGGGTCTTGGGCTCGCTGGGGAGGGGCTTTTATAGGGATTCTGGCTCCCTGGTAGGCCTGGCTGCTTGGACAGCAGCGGCGGCGTTGGCGGCTGTGGACGTGGCCGGTTCTCCGGCTCCCAGGGGGCAGAGTTTTTGTTGGGGTTCAGGCTACCTTTTCGGCCTGGCATATTGGACAGGGGTGGCGGTTTTGAGGAACGGATCTTGGTTCCCCGGGGGTTTGGGGCTTTTGTTGGGGTTCAGGCTCCCTGTTCGGCCTGGCTGCTTTGACAGTGGCGGCGGCGCCGGTGGGCGGTGTTCGGTGTGCGTGGGGCTTCCCCTGTCTCGGATCAACGGGGAGGGGTTGGCTTTTGTTTTGGTTCAGGCTCCCTGCTCTGCCAGGCTGTTTGGACATCGACAGAGGCGGCGGTAGACGGGTTCGGGTCTCGGTTCTCCGGGGAGGTGGTGTTTGTTGGGGTTCAGGCTTCCTCGTCTGCCTGCCTGCTTGGACTAGGACGGAGTCGGCGGTGGCGGCGGTGGGTGTGCCCAGGTCTCCAGTTCTGGGGGCGGGGCTTTTGTTGGGGTTCATTCTCCCTGTTCGTCCTTGCGGCTTGGAAGTCCGCGGCGGCGGCGATGGGCGGGCCCCGGTGAGGGGTCCCATGGGGCGGTTCTTTTGTAGGGGTTCAGGCTCCATGGTCCGCCTGTCTGCTTGGGCGGCGGCGGCAGCAGGCGGGTCCGGGTCTCACGTCTCCGCGGGGTGGGGGGGATTGTTGAGTTTCAGTCTCCCTGGTGGTTCTGGCTGCTTAGACAGTCGCGCGGGCAGCGTCGGTGGGCGGGTCCTAGTCTCGGGAACCCATGGGGTGGGGGAATTTTTTGTTGCTGAAGGATCCCTGGTCATCCTCGCTTCTTGGACGACGAAGACGGCGGTGTTGGCCTGCACAGGTCTCTGTTCTTGGGGGCGGGGCTTTTGTTGGGGTTCAGTCTCCCTTATCGGCCTGGTAGATTGGACGCGGCCGGCGGTTTTGGCGAACGGATCTTGGTTGCGGGGGTGGGGTGGGGGTGGCAGCTTTTATTGTGGTTCAGGCTCCATGGTTGGCCTGGCTGCTTGGGAGGCGGCAGCTTTGGGCGTTACCGGGTCTAGGGTCCTCGGGGTGGGGGGTTTTGATGGGTTCAGGCTACCAGGTCGGACTGGCTGCTTAGATGGAGAACACCGTGGGCAGGCCTAGGACTCGGGTCCCCGTGGGGGGGAGTTTTTGTTAGGTTTCATGTTCTCTACTGGCTACTTGGAAGGACGCGACAGCGGCAGCTGCCATTGCGTCCGCGGCTGCGATGAGCGGGGACGGGTCTCGTGTCCCTGGAGAGTCGGGGACTTTTGTTGGGGTTCAGTCTCCCTGATCGGCCTGGCAGATTGGAGAGGGGTGGCGGTTTTGGGGAACGGATCTTGGTTCCCCGGGGGGTTGGGGCTTTTGTTGGGGTTCAGGCTCCCTGATCGGCCTGGCAGAATGGATAGGAGTGGCGGTTTTGGGTTATGGATTTGCTTCCGGGGGGTAGGGGCTTTTGATGGGGTTCAGGCTCCCTGATCGGCCTGGCAGATTGTACAGGTGTGGCGGTTTGGGGAACGGATCTTGCTTCCCCGGGGTCTTAGGGCTTTTGTTGGGGTTCAGGATCCCTGATCGGCCTGGCAGATTGTACAGGTGTGGCGGTTTGGGGAACGGATCTTGCTTCCCCGGGGGGTAGGGGCTTTTGAGGGGGTTCAGGCTCCCTGATCGGCCTGGCAGATTGGACAGGAGCCGCGGTTTTTCGGAACGGATCTTGGTTCCCCGGAGGGTGGGGGAGCTTTTAATGGGGTTCAGGAGCGAGAGCGCACCGCGCGACCGCGGTTTCCCGTCGGCGGCTCTGAGCGCCGCACAACGGCAGCTGCGGGGACACGGCTGACAGCCCAGCGCGGTCCGCGGGTCCTCTATACGCGGTGGCGTCTGCTCAGGCGCACTGTCCCGGTTAGGGCAGCTGTTGTCACCAAAGCTGAACGCCTCAGGGACCAATCTGGTGCTCTGGAGGACACCTCCTTGGAACCGCCTGTCCACACTGCAGCCTCTGAGCAGTCGGGGTTGGTACGATCCCCCGTGGCCATCACAAAGGCCCTGTCCCCTGTCCGGGTTTATGTCTTCTTCGTAGTGGAAGAGGCCCCCCCATAGACTGCTAAGAAAACGTCTTGGGCTACTAAACGTCCACATGCCCGTCCTCGCCTTGTCGGAATCATGTTTGACTGAGGAAAAGCGGAGATTGGAAACGACTCTCCACAGGACGCTGAAGGCGGGACTCCCCTGTCGTCTTCCTCTTGAGGATCCTCCGCAGGGGTCCGTCCCCTGGACTGCCACACCCAGAGTTAACACGGTGTCCTCTGTGCTTCCCCAGTGCGGGGCGGGGTGTGGATCCATCGTCACTCTCCACGTGACGACCTCTGTGGACCTCCTGGAACTGCCCCATCTGCCTTTCTTCCATGGTTCTCTCCTCCTGCCCGTCTGCGCTGCTCTTCCTTGAGCTCGTGTTATTCAGACACTGGCTCCACTGGACTCGCACTTCAGTTCTCTCTCTCTCTTTGCCTTCTACTCCTTTTTCTTTTTTATGCTTTTTTTTTTTTTTTTCAGTTTTATCTTTCTTGTTATCCTTTTGTCTTTTTGATCTAATCAGGCTTCCTGTGTGTTATTTTCTCAAGTTTCTAGTGAGTTGTTTTTTAATTTAAATTTCAACAGTTATGGGCCGCCCCATGGCTCACTCGGGAGAGTGCGGTGCTGGGAGCACAGCGGCACTGCCGCGGGTTCGGACCCTACATAGGGATGGCCGGTGTGCTCACTGTCTGAGCGCAGTGCGGGCCACGCCTAGGGTTACGATCCCCTTAAATGACACACACACACACACACACACACACACACACACACACACACACACACACACACCCCCAAAAAAAAAACGAATAAAAATTTCAAAACATATTTTTAATTTCTAAATGACCTCGTGGTTATTTGATTCATCTTCT